AAAAGAATCGACGAGGCACTGGTGGTCGAGGACCATCACCGATTTCTAAGCGATCGTCTGCACGCGCAACTCGAACAGCTTGCGATTCTTCAGCAAAGGCTAAGACATTCTGGAAAGAGGATTCATAGACTAGAAAAATGCAGAAGCGATCATTCACAGCAGTTAGAAGTGTTAATCGTACCAGATTTTCTTCAAAGTCAGACGGTTTTGGGTTGGCACAGATAATCATACGGATTTTTCCAGCGCCCTCGAAGAAATTTTTGAATAACATAGTCAATTTGGCATCGCGATATGGAACCGTCTCATGGATTGCAGACCGTTGATTTCGTCTGAAATATCAAGCACTGAGATGATGACTAGAGGCTCTATATAATCAACAGATGGACGAATAGACAGGGTACCTCAGTTTTTCAATACACTGTCGCAGTACCATTAGGCTCTTGTTGATAGATGCAGCCTCAGCAAGACGATCACCAACATTCTGAGTTCTTTTCGCTCTAAAACATAATTGGAATAAAGAAAATATATATGAAGGGAAAACTCAGACATCACGGGCATTTACAGGTTGGTAGACTCACGCAGCGATGATATGCACAAACATCTATTATTATGGTAGAACTCACGCAGCGATGATATGCACAAAAAGCTATTATTACCTTTTGACTTAAATATTGTGCTCGTGCTGATCCAATTCGTAGGCGTCCTTTTTGTTCAAGTAGTCTGCCCCACGGTCTTCAAGATTGTCCCACCCTCTCAATGAGTAACAAGGTGTTGCAGCCCTCACAAGTAGCAAATGACGCCCCCTTTTTTGTACCACCCACCGAAATGCAAAGGCTATTCACTGTCGAGTCGATTTACGAGTTTAATTTCTACGCCATGTTTTTGAATTTTCTACTGTTTGATGGTATCAGCACAGGATGACGCGAAGAAACCATTATTGAGTTATAGGTAACAACAAGTAGCTTTGCTGGCATAAAATGAACAGGTGCGGGCGGAGAGCTCGTACGGCGAGTTTGCCAGCGGTCCTTACTTAGAGTGAGCTTCACGACTTTTTCGCTTTTTTCCTCTTTGGAAAATCACTTAGCGCCTATAGCTCTGTAGCTGAACACCCTTATCCACAGTGAAGTCGCGGGGTTTATCTTCAACACACTATAGGCCTTCCGCGTCAAGTGAATGGTGCTACTGGTGCAAATGGCAAAGTCGCGCAACGTCCAGCCTTCACCCGATACCCTTGTTTATATGAATAAACTGACCGTTCGCTACCAGCCAGATCGACCAGCGAGAGCTGCGACACAACAATTCGATTTGGATCACTATCTGGATGGAGAGAATAGCTAGTCGACTAAAATAAAACGTAACATGATAGGTAGCCCAAGAAAAATAAGTCAAAGTAAAAAAATTAATAATGAAACTGACGTCAAACGGGGCCATCACTAAGCGGATGGTAAAAACAGAGTGAGAACGTGATGACTCCTTGTTGAGAATGGTATCACTCGTTCCGACGCCGCTCTTCCCCTAAACATCAAGGAATGCTATCTTCAATTCTGGAATTTTAAACTGTACTTTAGTATTCTTGAATACTTCCGAGAAACTATGCAGGGTTCTTGCTTCGCAAAGATTAAGATTTCAGCTTTTTTTTCTGTAATAGTAGCGTGCGCTTCCTTTCATGGTTTGCTAAAGTACTGACCCTTGAATCATTTCTCCTCTAGTGATCTTTCCTACCATCCCGTTTCTATGACCAACTTTACTCGTAACTCATTTTCATCCCTGCTAGATCCCGGTCCTTCAGCCTGCCTTAGAATGCCTTCATACCTTGCGTACGCCTTTTGAACCTAATGTTCACAACGTTGGATCAGTATCTGCACTTTCTTAGTCGCTGGAAGACGCTGGCATACGCTTAAAATGCTGCCGCAAAGTATAACTCCCCACCCCTCAAAGGCTGACTACGATCTTTTAGGTCATCACCATTTGTGCCACAATACGGGTTCCCCTGTTTGAGCAGTCTTCCACAATGTTCCAATTTGCAGCAGATTAGCTTTTCAAGAAAGTAGCTAGAAGAGAGTAACTAAGGCTACGTTCGTGTTTTGCGACAGAAGCTTCGGAGTACACGAGTTCCCTGGAAATATCAGATCCCTGGCGACCGGCGCCGATCGATACCTGTCCACTTCTTTGGCGCCCATTCTCCCAGAACGTCGATTCGCAGGACACGTCTTTGTTGGGGAATAGGGGGAGGTCGTACTTGGCCGCCAGGGATGGGGGGGGTCATATCTGGGCTGGGAAAAATTTACTTTAATAGTTGATTCATCATACAAGGACGTTGTAGAGGGGGTCGTATTTGGTCATTGTTGGAGAGGGGGTCGTATTTACTTCACTTTCTGGCCTTTCTAGGAGTGGTGGGAGTGGTGGTTGACTTTTGCGTGATTTTCCTGTTTCATTCGTAGTATATACCCCCCTCGACAGCAAAATTTTTGGGGAAAAGTAGGGAAGTTCCGGGAATTGAAAAAAGGCAGAAAGTTGGGGGAAGTTGGGGAAATCTGAGAACTGGTAGAAGGGGTCGTACAGACTCGACCAAAATCCCCAACCACTGATGTGCCCTGTCGATTCGCCGATCCGATTCTCTATACTCCCGTCGTTTAGCAAATAATCTAACGGGTAAAACAGCATCGATGAAATATAAAAGGAAAACCTTTGCAAAACAGTTCCAAAGCTTCATCACTGTTTTCTACTTCGACTTCCCGAGCACCATCTACATAAACCATATTGTTGATATCAAGACGAGTATCACGTTTAGTGAGAATGCTGAAGTACACCATTATTTATATTGACAGAAAAACTGAAGGCGTAGTTCGGCTGGGGAATAAAGGTGAGGTAAGGGGAGGCATTTCGCACTCTCGCGCTTCCCATTATCGCTCGAGCCATTAAGAGAAATCTGTGGAAGAATCTTGCGGAGCCACGAAGTGACTCCTATTAAGGTTTGTAGAAGCCAATTGCAAATAGTTGTGACTCAAAGAACACGACAGTGGGAACTAACGAAAGTGCAAGATGCCTCCCCCCAGCCGAACTAATAAATAAAGTGAGAAAAAACTAACTTTTTCGGTTTCGAGTAGATCATAGCAATAGTTATTATATATCTCCACATAGGATACAAATACAGAACATACATAATTATCATTATATCCAGGAACCTGAAAGAAATTGGGCTCCTACTAATCATCTGATGGAGCAATCAAACAACTTACCACTCTCCTTTCCATATAACGCTCTTCAATCTCACTACTTATTTGAAGACGTTCCATTTCAACTTGTTTTCTAGCAAGATGAGCTTCCATTTTGGAACGAATACCAAAACCATTCCGACCATTTGGATAGAATACGCAACGATCAACCCTTCAAGCAAGGACTATTGATATCTTAGACCACGTTACTATTTTGCGAATGAGCGATTCGGCGATTTGGAAGACGAGGCGATTGGAGAAACTGCGTGGCGAGGAAGGTGTAAGGGTCTGTGTCGATTGTGGAGACGGAGCGAACTGACACCTTGAGAGAATCGGCGTTTTCGGTGCGAAAGGAGTAAACGGATGTCGATTGGCGCAGGTCGCTAGCGATGGCGGAGATTCGGCGATCCGGCGACCTGGGAGATCGCAGAGTCACTCCGGGATCGCGGATCGCTCAATCTGCGCAGTCGCCAGATCGATACTTACACTGTACTCGTCGCGCAGTCTCTTGAACCGCCAAATCCCCCAAATCGCCGAATCTCCTCCGTTGCAAAGTATGAACGCGGCCTCCACATATCGAGAAACATAAATGATTACTTATTATCGATGCTGTTGAACACGACATCGAGAGTTCTGGGTAATAATCCTGTCTCTTCTGGTGTAGGTTTTCCTGTCATTGTATACGTCTTGCCGCTACCAGTTACCTTGAAATCAAAATTTACAAGGTACCCGATAAGAAAGTAATCAAAAGAAGGCTTACTCCATAGGTGAAGAGAAGGCCATTTTTTCCGTTCAATAAATGCTCTATGAGGTCGACAGCACATCGCTCAAATACGACTTGTTGGCGATCACTTTCGTCGAAAACGTAGCCGAACTCGAAGTCCTTCGGTTGCTGAAAAAACCCTTTGAAATAGCTTTCTTTCAAACATTCACTCCATGCGAAGTAGTCCACGTGTTGGCCCCATGCGGCATGGCGGGGCATGAAATGATACTCAGTGCAGCCTGTACAGGTCACCTTGTGAAGACCTTTCAATTCTCGTAACCAAAGTGGCTCGCTTGTACCATTTTGCAGCTTCACAACAAGCTTAGGTCTCACCAGAATGAGACCTGTTAGTTAACATGAACTAGCAACAGGAACAAGCGGAAGTACAAAATGCTCCTTCCAATAAACAGCGCTCAAATTTTTGAACGTTCAGAATATACCCAGAGAGTCCTCCATTTCTCTTAGGCCCACCTTCGTAGAATCGGGGTTAAACCTTTGCTCAAAACAAAAGTTTCAAACGAAAACAACGGAGCGGCTACAAAAATTCGGAAGCTGAACTTAGCTATTTACAATAGTAAAATTAGCGATTTGTCGAATCAAACATCAGTCCTATCCAACTATAGCAAACCCAGTCCACAGGTTGTCCTATCCAACTATAGCAAACCCAGTCCACAGGTTATTTGGGAGTCGAACATGACACTAGTTCCGGGGCTGACGTCCGAATTTTATAACGAACTGGAAGGAAGAACAAAAAAAAAAATGAGCACATCACTGCCGCAGATTCCAAGTGGGCTAGATGGGATGACATTCTATTGCAAGTGTGGGAAAGGAGTTCTACCTTTCCCATTTTCACGCTAAGGTGCTACACAGGGCACGTATTTCAGTTCAAGAAGAATTTCTGCAAAATACGATCCCCTCTAAACATTCTCCTCAGGTACGACTCCCCTTCGGCATCCCACACCCTTCCTCCCCTATCATCTCCCCCTCCCTGAATTGTCATCACTCTCCTGAAACCTCTTTAATGTTGTAAATCGCGCACAGGAGAAAAACCAAGTCAACAGAAATTTCTAACATCGACAAATATAACCCCTTCCCTTCCAGCGACCGAATACGACTCCCTCGCGGTGTATCTCCAACATACGACGTGGCCTATACATACCTTTCGCAGTACTACTACAACTCATAATTTATAAGAAGCCTGTTCACCCCTCCTCCGCTCATTGGATAGATCCTGAGGCGGAGGGTGGTATGCCGAAATTTTGCCATGAGAAGCGGTTTTTAAACTGTTATTGTACCTTTGGGAACATCTCTAAATTGCTGTGACCGAAGCGGCTCACTCACACCGTTTCGTAGCTTCATAGCAAACTGGTTGTTTTTAAAATAATATAACAAAAGTAACGAGTGAAAGTGCAAATGCCCCTCCGCCTCAATTTCAAGACGAACAATGCCTCAAGCTGTTAGCGAAACTTTGCTATAAGAAAGCTGATAAATCAAAAGATGAAGACTCTATCAAACCGCCTACATATGGTGTTCCATCTCGTTTTTGCATCGAAGAAGGGGGCATGCATCGTATGACATTCTCCTCAGCAACGGTAAGACATGGTGTAGGGCCGTAATAAGGCGTTAGACGGCACACAACTTCTACAGCATCCTGATCTTCAAGCGAACGTTTGGCTCGTGTATTGGCATCACGGAATTGGTTACGTCCAGGGGTCGCACAACGTCTGAAAAGAAAGCAATGTGTATAAGAATGCAAAAGACCAAGATTTATGTACAAAGAAATCTAAAAAAATACGGCACTGTTCGGTTAGGTGGGGGCACTTAGCGAAACTAGTTCAGGCCAATCGAAGACCTGTAAATTCCTGTAATTGAAGTAGCTTATTCATACCGTTTCGTGAGTTCACAAGAGTGTATAGGCCTCACCAAAGTGCAACGCATGGACTAGCCAGAGAATGCGCAAAATGCCTTGCTCAAGCCTAACACTGCCAAAAATACTTGCGGAACACTCTCTAGCTCAAATCAAAAACTTTGCAAAAACTTTTGGATTCCCTCTTGGATCCTAGCAGTCTTTTGTAAGAGAACTTAACTTTCTGGAGCAAAAAAGTAGTAATTGTCCTAAACTTTCGGCAAACACTTCACCGTCTCGCCAAGGATTCAATGGGACGCTAGCTCTAGCTGAAGCGTTTCCAATGCTTCCAACTCTTCCTCACATCAGCAGTTGCAAGGAAAGTAATTGTCCTAAACTTTCGGCCAACACTTCACCGTCTCGCCAAGGATTCAATGGGACGCTAGCTCTAGCTGAATGCGTTTCCAATGCTTCCAACTCTTCCTCACATCAGCGGTTTCAAGGAAATTATCATATACCACGCATAGTGAAAGTCAAAACAACTCTAGAACTTGCAGAACTCACTTCCTATTAGCCGACGACATTCAACCAGAGTCGAAAAGACGTTGGCTGCAGAAACTCGAAGATTTCTCTGAACTTGACACACTAACAATTAGGCGAATCGGTGTAAATAAAACTGCAGGACCCATAAAAAGAATGTAGAACATAACCTCAAAGACAATGAGAAGAAGTCTATGGGTTCAAATCATAATGAAAAAGATAAATGTAAAATTGAAACAGCGAATCGGATTCACGATCAACGCCACTTCCAAAAATTTCAAATAGCCGCCGCTCTACGGTAGTTCGAATGGAGCGCGATAGTTATACGCTGTCGCATAGTAGCACATGCCTCCCCCTCTATAACGGAGCCCGATCAGGACACATCATCACTGTGTGAAAAACATTAATGGGGTCGTATTTGGCTGCTGGAGGGAGTGGGTGCGTGTTTGCAATGAGAAAAGTTTTCTCGAATTGATGGTTTTCTCGTCTACCGTGCTCTATTTACTTGCTTTGTTCAGAGAATCCCATGTGAAGATCGTAATAGGGTACAACATTTCTGGGAGATTCCCATGAAAGACGGGAGGAGGGACATAGTTGGTCATTTTCAAAAAAGAATTGTATTTGGTCGATGGTGGTCGTATCGGTACATGACAGAATATTTTCCGAGCTGCGAAAGGATTTTTCTCGGTGTCGAGTTCCCGCAGTTTTTCTCGTTTCGTATGCGATGGCACCCCAGCCTTCCCGCCGCTCTCGACACTCGGCGGCAGTTCTTTGGGGTAACAAAGGAAAAAATTCTGGAAAACTGGGGAAAGTGGAAAAAGTTGGAAAAATCTAGAAAGATGGTGATGGGAAAGGGGATCGTATCGGGACAAGAGACTCGGGGGGGGGGGGGTCGTCCAACATCACCATTTCTCCCATCCCGATGTTGTATCGTGATCGTATTCGATCGCAGGGGTCGTACCTGGCGCTGATGAAGGGAGACACTGTTCCTCGGCGTGATCCTTTCCTGGCTTTTCTCGATTTTTTCCGGTTCATGGACATTTTACCCTAGTAAGTTGGGTGGCGCCACAGAAAAAGAACTTTGCTATTAAAAACTTTACGTATCTGTTGGTAGTTCATTATGGTCGACCTCCCCCTCGGCTGGATACTGTTTTTTTTTTGTAGGAAATTGGAAAACCCCTTGGAAAACTCAAAACGGAGAAGTAGAAAAAGTAGTCGCATCTCAAGAAAATTTGCCAACTTTTGCACCTAGATCGAGATCGAGCGGTGGGGCCGTTAATGTGGCAGGGTTAAATGAAAGCAATTAAAAGATCAGCAAAAACAGCAATCATTACAAAATGTGATTCACGCATTATCTCAAATGATAAGGAGAACTACTCCCTGTGCAGAAAACTCCGGTCGTTTGCTTTCTGCTATGGTGAGGCTGAAACGGGAGTGGGTCATTAGGTTTATTCTTCGTCGGTGTGAGAATTGGAAAATCGGAGAAGATTAAAGTAATTCGGGCCTTTCCAGCGAATCGTTTTTGAGTCAGGATGGTACTGATGTTAGGGTAGGCAGCGGAGCAGCTGCACTTCACTCCCCTTCACGCGCCCTATCGTTTCCAGAGGTCATCACTGCACCTTGCTCGCAGGCAGTTATTAGGGTGTCCGGAAAGTTTTGAGAAATTTCAACCAGCTCATTTAACACCTATCAACAACAATAAGAGATAGGAGTTCATACTTATAATAGACATTGTCCATCCCATTTCCCTTACCTTTTGGGCGGGATTACTTTGCGTGGGAGTTAGAATGAAGTGAGTACCGAGCATGCGGGGCGTACGCAACATCCAAGCTAAACTTCCATGTAAGAGACCGATTGATCTCTTGCTACAGACAGTTTTGAAGCGTGTTTTATCCAGCACGGTGACGGCGCCTTATTCCCGATTTGACCGATAGAGCAGCCAGAACGGTGAAGATGAAGTAGAAGGCGTTGGGAGTCGTGTGCGCTCGTACATTTTTCAGGTAATGTGTAGTCATACCAACCATGGGGAATAACACCAAC